GCTAGAATGTCTTTTCACTCTACCTGCCAGGACTCAGCCCTAGACATAGATTCAACAGACTCTTTGCTTGTAAATGCTTTCAGTCAGTGCCTACCACCTGTGTGTGTGTGTGTGTGTGTGTGTGTGTGTGTGTGTGTGTGTGTGGGGTGTATGTGAGAATATCACACTGAACCCCATTAATATGTACAATGAAAAGCTACTGAGATGGCTGGGTTGGTAAAGTGTCTGCTATGCAAACATGAGGACTTGAATTGGGAACGCTGGCACCATGTAAGCCAAACATGAGTGTGTATCTATAATTCCAGCACTGGGAAGGTGGAAACAGGTGGATCTCAAACTCCTTGCCCAGTCAGTATAGCCAAATTGATGAGCACCATGTTCAGTGAATAAGATGAGGGCTAGAAAGATAACTCAGGGGTGAGGATCAATGACTTCTCTTACAGAGGAGCCAGGTTCAGGTCCCAGCACCTACATGCTAGCTCACAACTGTCTACTCCAATTCCTGGGAATCTGACACCCTCTTCTGGCCTCTGAGGATTCCAAATGCCCATGGTACACATACATAAAACAATACTAAATATTTTAAATCCTTTTTTAATAGAGAATTTTAATGTGAAACATTATTATTTAATAGCTTCATAGCTAAGAATTTAACCTAAGTCTTCAAGCTTCTTGCACACGACTCATATAGTCAAGAGGTGAAGGAGGGGTATTTGGGGATGTTTCCTTCTGGTTTTTGTGTTTGTGTTTGAGGGAGTATTGCTATGTGCCCTAGGTTGGCTTCAAACTCACAGTCCTCCTGCCTCAGCCTCTTGAGTACTAGGGTTACAGGTGTGTAACTATTACATCACACACAGCACTAGTAGTATCTTGACATCTAACACAAACAGATTATGGGCATCTAATCTTAAATATTTTTAAAAAATAAAGTTGAGAGATGGTTGAGGAGTCCCCTGAATCAACCTTTGGCCTCCACACACATCCACACACTCACAATGTGCACACACACATAGCACACGCACAAGTATGCACATTCGTCTCTACATACTCACACCTATACACACCCCACACATTCATAAGCACTCATACATATCACACACAAGCATGCACACACATGTCACATCCACACACATCCACACACTCACAAGCACATACATCTACACACTCACAAATGTACACATACACACACATGTACACACACACAACCAACTAATGAGAGTTGATTTAAAACATTTTTAAGGAAAGGAGGGAAAAAGCCAAGTGATTCCAGTCCCTCTCTGCTTCATAAACCTTCCGGTTAGGTAACAAGAGCAGAATTCCTCATCAGGACAGAGACAGATCCACATGCAACTGTGCAGACCCCTGGCAGCGAAATCACCTGACCTTTCGGGGCCCCAGCCCACCTCACGTCTTAGCTCCCTGGGAAGCAGTAATGAATTAAAAGGTCAGCTTGGTAATTTTTAGGGCTAAGCCTTTGTCACTATAAATAAAACCATAGAATAAAAGGAATGCACAAAAGAAAAAACAACAGAGAGAAAGGGAAAATGAAAAACCCGACTTGGTTTCATTAAATTCGTTTGAAAATGCCCCTGTGTGTGTGGTGATTTCATTAATGCCCAGGAGAATTCTTCCAAACTCATGGTCTTAGCCAGCTCTTGGTGAGCCTTTTGGGCTGAAAGTCAGTAGTCCTGGGAGGTTGAAGGAGGAGATGATGCAGGGTGCTTTTGTGTGTCCCTGTCAAGCAGGAAGAAAGAGCCGGAAGGTCAGGTTGGCCAAGCACTTCCCCTGAGGGGGGAATACACCATTGGCATGGAAAGGGTCCTAGCAAGCTTGGGGGCAAAGTTGGCACTGAAGAAGACCTCAGAAATCTTTCCTAAATTGCCACATGGATCACCAAATGCTCTGGACTTGTCCCTCCAGATACAAAGCTTTGGTCCCACTGAAATGTCATCGGTGGACCCATGTGAGTTAGAGTGTAACATCAGGAATGCTGGGATGGGGAAGGCTGTATTTTATTGGCTTTTTCCTCCCGTGGTTTTCACCATCTGTTTCTTTAACTGCATAAACAAGGGAAAATGACTGGTTTGGAATGCGAAGTTTTAAACACCAGATGACCACAGGCATCCTCCAAATGAGAAAGAGAGAGCAAAATGGGGGTTCTGTGACATTTGTCAGGAAGTGGAATGGTAAATACCAAGAAGCCTGAGTGTGCCCTGCCAGGGAAGGGCCACAAAGGCAGGGGATGGTTTGGTCCCCCGCCCTTCCTAGGGGTCATGCCTTTTCAGCTTTCCCTAATACCACAGTCAGACACCAGCACTGCTCCCTCTCCCTCCCCCGCCCCCATTTTCAAACTAAAAGATGAAAAGGGATGTAGGACTTCAACTTAATGAGCATTAGTTCACTAGCATCCTGAAGCTGGCAGCTTGGCACGGAACCCACTCTTAGAAGCTTCCACACTCAACAAAAGCAGGGTTGTGAGCATGTTCTATTACAAAGCTAAATAGACAGCTACAAACAGACCAGCTATAAGATCTTCATATCTCTTCACAATGGTTAGTGAAAAAGAAAAGCCATACAAGGGCATTAAAATACTTTAGCAAACGGCCCTCTGCTTTATGAAGGAATATTTGCTGTGTACAATACAATGGCTGCTTCATAAAATGGTTCCGTCACTCCATGCCAACAAACTTAAAGCCTCGCGTTCCTTTTCTAAACCCAAGACAATGGAGAGACTGGATGGAAGTGTTTGCTGCATACTAATCTCTTTTACCTTCAGTGCAAGAAATAATCAGTTGTAAGCATCAGGCATTTTAGACAAAATTGGACAGGGAGGCTTTGGAGCCCCTGGGGTACGGACCCTGGTGCACTTGGCTGTGTTCCACTGGTTTCAGCTTAAGACGGACATGGAACATTTTTCACATAGTTTTGTAGGCAGCCTGATGCCAGAGTTTTCACGTTAAAGGGTGAAAGATGAGGGCCTCCTGGGAAGTGACAGCTCCTCCTAATTTTTGGTGTCGCTTCCCAAAGACACAGTGGGCAGTTTTAGGCATGGACACTGTTAATGGTTTGGTAGTAGGGAGTCAGGCAAGAATAAGACTGTGGCAATTTGCAAGCCCTGAGAAGCTTAAATCAATTAAGTTGAAATAGTGTTTCTATCCTGCTTAGAATTACCAATGCAGTACCTAGAGGAACATAGGAGCCCACAATGAGTGAAGTGCTTGCTGTCCAAATGAAAGGACCTGAGTTCAGATCTGCAATGCACATGGAAAAGCCAGGTGTGGTGGCCTGTGCCTATAACCCCAGTGATGGCATTGGCACTGAGAAAGGCAAATCCCAGGGCTTCACAAGCCAGCCAGTCTAACCAAGTGATAAGCTCTTGGTCAGTGAAGAGATGGGATCTCAAAATAAAGAAGGAAACAAATAAATAAACAAACAAATAAATGAGTGGAGAGAAATAGAGAAAGATACATGAAATTGGTCAAGTAAGATTCAATCTGCTAACTTTGACTCCAGATGCCAGGGTCCATAGTGAGTCTATTTGACTTCTGATACCCGCTGGATGTAGGTGCTATTGGGGATATTTGGTTCCCCAGTGGAAATGGGGAAATGATTAGAGATTAGAGATCAGAACACTTCAAAGTTGAAAGTTCTGAGGGCTTCCTCACTGACACAGTTTATCCTCTGCAGCATGGGTTCCAGATCAGCGGAGACAGCCAGCTCCAAGTCAAAACTATTTAGAAAATAATTGCCTCTGCAGTGAACCTGTGTAGACTTGTGTCATTGTTCCCTAAACAATACTGTATACCATCTGTTGACTTAGTCTTTGTAAAGCACTGAAGACCATAAACTAATGTGGAGAGGGTTTTAAGTGTGCCAGATGATGTATGGAGGTTCCATGCAAAGCACCACACCCCATGGGCTTGAGCATCCAAGGACTTCAGACCCAGTCTCCCATAGACACTGAGGGGAACTGTGTTTCCATTGTTTCATAAATGGGAGTGAATGCTCCCAGGCAGCTATAGTGGCACTGTGAAAGGACTAGGGTGACCCATGGAATTTCAGTTATAATCACAGTAATAATGTCAGATGAAGAGACATACTGAGGAAGATATGAGGGGAATTTTAAGTAGCCAAACTACTTGTATTATGTACTTTACAAAACCTTTGGAACCTTTTCAAAACTGGAGTGCTGTGCTTCGGCCACTCCAAAAGGATCAGCTAAGACTTTCCTTATTCTGTTTTACTGGGGCTTGTTGATTTTTCTGCATGTACATGAATGTTTTACCTGTGTGTATGTATATATGTATGTACCACACATGATCCTGGTGCTGTTGGAAGGCAGAAAAGGGGATCAATGCTCTAGGACTGGAGATACAGATGGTGGTGAGCTGCCATGGTGGGTGCGGGAACCAATCCCGGGTCCTCCGGAAGAGCAGCAAGTGTCCTGAACCACTGAGCCCTCTCTCCAGCCTGGCTGTCATAATTTATGTGATATAAGACAACTTTATGGGGCTGGAGAGATGGCTCAGGGGTTAAGAGCACTGACTGTTCTTCCAGAGGTTCTGAGTTCAATTCCCAGCAACCACATGGTGGCTCACAACTTTCTGTAATGTGATCTGGTGCCCTCTTCTGGCACACACCGTATACATGATAAATAAATAAATAAATAAATCTTTAAAAAAAAAAAAGACAACTTTATATCTCCTTAACTATAAGGAATTGAGACTATTGATGAACTTGGATGGGACTTTTGGGGAATCCTTAGGAAGGAAAATTATGATATTTCAGACACTTCCTACATATTCTGACCTTGTGTCTTCATGTCTTCTTTTTCTCCCTCTCACCCTCTTTTCTTCCTTTCATTTCATCCTGTCTTCCTTTTCTCCTCTTTCTTTCCTTCCTATGGGGGATTTATTAGGGATGTGTGCCTGATTACAAGCTGAGAGGTATGCTGAGGACTCGGGGTTGTCATTGACACATCTGTGTATTTTCATCCACAGGTGATCACCCCAGTGAGGACAGGCCATGGCTATGTGTACGAGTACCCAACCAGATACCAAAAGGATGTCTACGATGTCCCTCCTTCCCACACTGCTCAAGGGGTAGGCAATGGGAACACCACCAGGGGAGCTGGCCTTGTGGGTAGCACATCTTCAGGACCACACAGGAGAATCGGGTCACCAGTCACAATCTCATGATATGGGGTTCTAAGCTACCTATCTAGGGATTTAGTCAGTGTTTAAGTTGTGTTTTCTGGGTTTTCCATATCAGAAAGTTTAGTCTTCCATCTGAGAAATAGCTTATTGCTTTGTCAGTTTATTTCTGGAAATGTGCAAATTTAAATTATCCAAATTAGAAAGCAAATAGTTCACATAAGATCATTTTCAAATTCAATCTAAATCAAAGAATGCAAAATTTATAAAGGAAACTTCCATTAACCTCAGATGTCATGGGGTGCTGTTAAAAACCAAGTCTATATTGACCTGATAAATAAATCCATAAGGAAACAGTAGCAAGAGAAGTAATATATGACATTTCTATCCTGGGTAACTAAGTGTTTCTCTTCAGGTATATGACATCCCTCCTTCATCAGTGAAAGGCCCTGTGTTTTCAGTACCAGTGGGAGAGATAAAACCTCAAGGGGTATATGACATCCCCCCTACTCAAGGGGTAAGTGCACTGGAAAAGCACTGGGTCTGGATGAGTCTGTCTGTGTGTATGGTGTGGTGGTTATGTGTGTTAATTCATTGGGATAAAATAAGAATGGCATACTCCGAAAGGGAAAATCCATCTTCATGTGTAGGGGCAGCTGTAGCCACGCCTTCTTAGGGGCTGACTACAAGGGTACCTGAGCAGGCTTGTGAGGGTGTGGTCAGAGTGAGTAGGGGGACTGCGTTTTCGGTTTCGGTTTCTCTTTGCTTCTTGCTGTACAGACTACCACCGGCTGGCTGGTTCGCTCTGTAAGTAAGGCTTTTCCCTATTAAATACCCTTATATTTCTACCTGACTCCGTATTGGTAATTTCCTACTATATCTGGTGTCAGAAGTGGGAATGGGAGAAAGAGGGAAGAAGGCAAGGAAGAGAAGACAGCAATTGATTATAAATTTATAATCGTAATCACAAATTTAGAGGGTCCCCTGAAATAAAGAGGTGTCAATAATGAGAGTCAATTGGAAGGGAAGATAGTGAGTTCAGTTTTCAATATCTAATACATCACATATTTCTAGAAGGGTCTACAGAAGTGGTTCTTAACCTTCCTAATGTTGTGACCCTTTAATAAAGTTCCTCGTGTTGTGGTGACCCCCACAAGCATAAAACTGTTCCATTGCTACTTCATGACTGTAACTTTGCTACTGTTATGAATTGTAATGGAAACATCTGATATGCAGGATATCTGATATGTGACCCCTGTGAAAGGGTCATTCACCCCCAAGTGGGTCACGCCCCCCAAGTTGAGAACCACTGGTCCACAGCTTCCTCAGTTCATGTATAAGAGGTAGCTCTTTTGGTTTTCTGTCATTCTCTGAGAGTGCCCACACTTCAAACACAGCTAGCTTTGCTGAACAGACAGGGAACCCTGCCTCTGACTACTAAGGAGACTCAGGCAGCTTTACAAATCATCTGATGACCAAAAAGAGAACTCAGTTCGTCTCTCAGCATGGGTCACCCTGGGCAGGATAGTTAGTAAATGGTTGGAGACACAAGACTGCAACCTAGTGGTGACAAGTTAGGGCTCTACGCCCACGGCAGCCAGCATTGAGAATGGTAATGAATGCTCATGTGTATGGATGAGGGCACATAGCCTCTAAGGACCATGCTACACCCTGGGAAACATCGGAAATTAGTAAATGGTGGGTGGAGTGAAAAAGAAGATCTAATAAACAGATCTGTGCACTCTGGACCACACCTTCATGGACTGTCATTTTCTGCCTCCATCCAAGATCCAACTGAACAAATAAATTGGCTTTTGACTTACTTTTTAGGTCTATGCCATTCCACCATCAGCTTATCGAGATGAAGCAGGGCTTAGGGAAAAGGAATATGACTTCCCTTCTCCAATGAAACAAGATGGAAGACCAGACACTAGACCTGAGGGGGTTTATGACATCCCTCCAACCAGCACCAAGACAGCGGGGAAGGACCTTCACTCCAAATTCACCTGTGATGCCCCAGGAGCTGCAGAGCCAATGGCACGAAGACACCAGAACCTTTCTCTGCATCATCCTCCCTCTCAGCTGGGCCAGTCTGGGGGAACTCCGAGTGATGCTTATGATGTCCCCCGGGGAGTTCAGTTTCTGGAGGCACCCACAGAAACCAGTGAAAAGGCAAATCTGGAGGAAAGAGATGGTGTTTACGATGTTCCTCTGCACAACCCAGCAGATGGCAAAGGCTCTCGGGATGTGGTAGACGGCATCAACCGGCTGTCTTTCTCCAGCACCGGAAGTACCAGGAGTAACATGTCCACATCTTCCACCTCCTCAAAGGAGTCCTCATTGTCAGCCTCCCCATCTCAGGACAAAAGGCTCCTACTGGACCCAGACACAGCCATTGAAAAACTCTATCGGCTCCAGCAGACCCTGGAGATGGGTGTCTGCAGCCTCACGTCACTCGTCACCACAGACTGGCGGTGTTACGGATACATGGAAAGACACATCAATGAGATCCGTACCGCAGTGGACAAGGTGGAGCTGTTTTTACGCGAATACCTCCATTTTGCCAGGGGAGCTTTGGCTAATGCCTCCTGCCTCCCGGAACTGGTCCTCCACACCAAAATGAAGCGCGAACTCCAAAGAGTCGAAGATTCGCACCAGATTCTAAGTCAAACCAGCCATGATCTGAATGAATGCAGCTGGTCCCTGAATGTCCTAGCTATCAATAAGCCTCAAAATAAATGCGATGATCTGGACCGGTTTGTGATGGTAGCCAAGACAGTACCAGATGATGCCAAGCAACTGACCACCACCATCAGCACCTATGCAGAGACCCTCTTTAGAGCAGCAGGTCCTGGCAGTTCCCATCTGAAGAATGGGCCCGACAGCATCACGAACTCAAGCGAGTACACGCACACGGGGTCCCAGATGCAGCCATTGCGCCCTGGTGACTACAAGGCCCAGGTCCACAATAAGCCATTGCCTCCCACTCTAGGCAAGGAGCAGCCACCAGACTGTAGTAGCAGTGATGGTTCCGAAAGGAGTTGGATGGATGATTATGATTATGTCCACCTACAGGTAAGGAAACCAGACCCGTGGACCACCCACACTCACATTCAGGGAGCCGAGGATGGATATCTATAGGCCTGACAGCCAAAGGGCAGAGCACACTGAGTGCTAATCCAAGTGTTGTGAAAATTAAGGGTGGAGCTGTACAGAAATTGTACAGTCACTTTATTTACCTCCCTGGGCCCTAATTTTATTTTGAGAATGCACTAACTCAAAGGGTTGTATTAAAGCTCACTGATCACATACCTCAGCAAGCAGGAGGAGACTCACCAATGGGGAACAGTGGGTCCACTAGTCATGGCATCAATTCTTATTTATAGCACAGTTCCATGAAACAGCCCGTAGTAATAGAAAGAAGTTTTAAAATATGTCACTGTTAAGAAAATAAAACTATTGAAAATATCTGTTCATAGAGTTTCTAAGGAACTCTTGAGACCGTGTGTGTGTGTGTGTGTGTGTGTGTGTGTGTGTGTGTGTCTTTCACGGCTTACAAAGAATCATAGCCCCATCAGATTTAGAGGACCTGTGATCATTTGCCAACTGGCCAACAGCTTGGTCTGCATTTATTAAACTCTGCAAACTTCTTCCTAGAAGTATAAATTGTGCTAGTTCTCAGTTGACCTAGAATCCTGAAAATGACCCCTGCTTTGAAGAATTTAGACACTCCACCATAAACTAGTACTTAGTATGTATTTAATGTCTTATTCTGTCATTCTTTTCCATTTGATTGAGGGCCATGAATTATGCTGAAAACTGTTTAATACTGAAATCTCCCAGGTGCAAGAGAGTAGAAAGGATCACCTGAGCCTCATCTCATGCTGAGGAATGGCCTAAGCTGGATGAAGGCATTTAACATCCATCTCTCCAGGCTTCTGATGGTGTATCCTGGAGGGTACTAAGTACGGGTGGGGAGATATAGGAGATTCAAAGAAATTGGAAGTGAAATATGCACCCATTTTTTACCTTGGTTTGAAAGTGCATGCGTTTACATATAATCCATTACAAAAGAACCATGAAAAATTAAAGCCTCTTAAGAAGCATAAAGAGGATCATGGGAAGTTCTCCAGCTATAAGGAGCAACAACCATGGCAGCCCACCTGGAAGCAGGCTTCACTTTTCAAGCCTGTCTCCACACTAACTCTGGAAGCCCCTGTCAGTGGTTTACAATGTCTAGGGGGACATGAGGAAAGTGGCCAGGGAACAATGAGAGTCTGAGTGCATTTGTCAATGAAGCTGTTCTAAGTGACTCCCAGTGGTGAGGTAATGCAGTCTTTGTGCTGAAAACAATAGGGCAAGGAGGAGTTCGAGAGACAGCAGAAGGAGCTCTTGGAGAAAGAGAATATCATCAAGCAGAGCAAGGCCCAGCTGGAGCATCATCAGGTAAGTTCAAACAAAACAACGGGCTCTTTGGTGGAAGAAAGGGCTCCACTTAATAGGGAATGGATAACTTCAAAAGGCTGGGGTCCTGCCAGCACGCTGGCATGAAGAAGTCCCAGGCGTATAATAGGACATAAGAACAAAGTGAAGGTTTGTGGTCTGTGACTCCAACTGAGTATACCTGGCTTGCATCCAAATGATGGGGTTTGTTCGGGCTATGCCTGTTAATCTGTAACACATTAGGACTATTTGGGTTAAAGCCTTTGGTCTCAAAACACAAGTCCAATCAGGCTGGCCCAAGCTAATTGGTTTTCTATTGAGGCCACAGTAAGGAAATCAGGAGAATGAAAATGGAGCCAAGACCAACAGGATCAAAGGCTATCTTTTCTCCTTGTTTACCTTGTGGTTCTCTTCCAATATTTCCTTCATTCTCCTCTACTCTGACATTTTCTTTAGTCACCTCCTCCCTCAGGCCCCATCTAACTTTATAAAACTCACAATGGACACTCAAAGTCCTTTCTATGGGACTTTGTTTTATTATGTTATGCCTTGAGATAGGGTCTCACTATGAAGCCCAGGCTGGCCTCAAGCTTGATATTCTCCTTACTCAACCTCTTGAGTGTTGGGAGTGCAGGGGTGTGCCATTGTGCTGAGCTCCAAAGCATGGTGTTTCACATGGGATTCCTTGGTTAATGGTCAACCCCCTTCTGTGGTTATCAAATTCCTAAGAGAGTTTGATTCTAGCTCTCTCCCCAACCCTATCTCTCTACCTGTCTTTTGCATGGTCCATTGTAAGGGTCAAAGGGAATGATCCAATGTTTGTGAGACATACCCAAGTCCATTTACCAAGGGTTCTGAGCAGAGCACATTCACGTAAAGGGCTAATGAGCACCGCAGGTAAGGATAGATACTTCGAAGTCAAGGGCATGAAATCAAAGAGAAATTGACTAAAGATACAGACTCTTTAAGATGAAATAAATAGCTGATGTGCTATTTCACAGCACCACACCATGAAGTGACAAGATGCCTTTAGAAAACCTGAGTTCAAACCCTTGTTTGTAGCCAACAGGTGTGTCGACTTGAGCATCATGTAATGGGCCAAAACTTCAGTTCCTTCTCTGTAAAATAGGAAAGTACTGCCCTCTGTGAACACATGATTTGAAATCAAACTCATTATTATCAAATAATGTTGGAACACCACCCTATGTCTGCTGTGTTTACATTGGCAATTGGCCCCAGAAGACAGCAGAGCTTAAGGGAACTATCACACACTAAAGTAATTCCTAAGAATTCTGTGCAATACAAAACTGACTAACTATGTATGCACTTCTCAGGGCAGAGGGCAGGGGCGGGGCGAGCAGGATGCTATGGTTCCTGTGCTGACTCAGCTCTGAGTCCTAAACCTGGGATTCTTGGTGAAATAGCTAGAAATTATCATTTCAATCAGAAATCACAGTCCAGTTAGGGATACAAAGAAGAGAAAAAAAAAAAAAAACTGACGCCCAAGCCATTGAGATGGCTCAGTGTTGGGGACTTGCTGCAGAGCCTGATGACCTGAGTTTGATCCCCAGAAACCTCCTGCCATGGATTGTCCTCTGACCAGCACACTCATGCTATAAAATACAGTAAGCAATTAATGCTGGGATTTCCTCGTGTCCTTTCCCCAAAGTAGGTGTGCATTTGTAACACTTGCTTGTAGTAAAGAGTCATAATATGTACATCTTGACAGACAGGGTAGGAGAAATAGAGAAGCTTCATGAATTTTCCATCTTGAAGAGAGAGACAGAGCCTAACCCAGGAAGTGGCAAACTGTCAGTGATGTGTTTGACAGAAAGGTCACTGTGTCTGGCTTTCCCTTACTGTCTCTCAACATTTAAGAAACATTTACACAGGGCCTGCAATTCACCAAACACCATTTCCAGCACTGTGTGAAAAATAGTAATTCGCTGAACCCTCTTAATGGCATAAAAGGTGAGGCCTGGGTTTAAACCCAATGTTACCTTCCCATCAGAATGCAAAAAAGACAAATGGTGTCATCATGGGTCAGGGCTGGGGTATCCCTTAGGGATCCTCTTCCCAGGGTCTGTGTTGTACAATTTAGGAAGCAAGGCTTAGCCAAGGTCTCATAGCTCCTAAATACCTGGCATCTATTAAGGATAAAGCTGGTATCTTTTGACTCCACACCCACGTTGCTCTCCCTGTACAATGCATGTCTTGTCCTTAACAAGACCTCTTACCTTCCTTCCAGTTGAGTCAGTTCCAGCTGCTGGAACAAGAGATCACCAAGCCTGTGGAGAATGACATCTCTAAGTGGAAGCCCTCCCAGACCCTCCCAACCACAAACAACAGTGTGGGCGCCCAGGATAGGCAGTTGCTATGTTTCTACTATGACCAATGCGAGACCCATTTCATATCCCTTCTCAACGCCATCGACGCCCTCTTCAACTGTGTCAGCTCCGCCCAGCCCCCACGGATCTTTGTGGCCCACAGCAAGTTTGTCATTCTCAGTGCGCACAAACTGGTATTCATTGGAGACACTCTGACAAGGCAGGTGGCTGCCCAGGACATTCGAAATAAAGTCAGGAACTCCAGCAACCAGCTCTGTGAACAGCTCAAGACGATAGTGATGGCAACCAAGATGGCTGCCCTCCACTACCCCAGCACTACCGCCTTGCAGGAGATGGTGCATCAAGTAACAGACTTGTCCAGAAATGCTCAGCTGTTCAAGCGTTCCTTGCTGGAGATGGCCACCTTCTGAGAAAAAATGGAGGTGGAAGGGACTGGGTGAATAATTACTAAAGAAAACTGGAAATACGATCTGGTTTTTGTAAATGTTATCTATTTTTGTAGATATTTTATATGAAAATGAAATATTTTAACATTTTGTGAGTTAGTTGATTTTCATCAATTCAGGGAGCTGGTGTGGGAAATCTTTTTTTTTTCCCCTGTGTGGTTCTTATATATACATATGAGTATCTAAAACATAGCTGTACAGTAATGTGTCCATGTTTGTCTATGCCTATGTATCCATATTTGTCTGTAGATATGTGTCTGATACATTCCATTGAAAACCTGAATTAAGAAGCACCTTAGTAAGCGCCTCCTAATGCTGCATTGTTTGGGTTTTGTAGAAAATTATACCAGTTGGTTGTAATATTGCTCTGCATGTACCAGTAGCGATCTGAACACAGCACACCCAAATCTGGAACTCACAGTATATTTGCCAAGTGTTCACCTCCCACATAACAAGTCATGGTATGGCTTAGTGTTGTCTGAAACCTTTTTCAAACTTGACTGTCTTTAACATGGTGGTAAAAGATTCCACTTTGGTTGAAAAGTCTAAGGGAAGGGGGGAGGAGGGGGGAGAGAGAGTGTCAAAAAGAATACATTAACCTAAATAAACTAAGGCCCAGTGTTTCAGGTGCTAGAGAGAGGTGAGCGACGTGTGTCCTGGACTAGGAGACTGTCTACAGCTGTGATTATGCTGTCTCAACTCAGAAAGGAAGCTACGAAAAAGAGAGAACACTTGTTTCCCTGGGGCTGCATTTGTGAGTGATTCAGCCACTAGGTTTTCTAAAGGGTGTTTTTAGAGTTGAGTTTTAAAAAGAAATGCAATAGGAATTCATGAAGCTAATATCAGACTGTAGTTGTGGACAAAATGAAGCAATTAATGACTACCAGTCATTAAATGACGGTCTCTCTGAGGGTTTGCTACCCTCATTATCCAAAGGAAAATGGCCAGCTCCTTCGTCACTAAACTTCCTGCTGTCTTATTGCTTGGTGTATCCTGCGCACTTTTAAAACTTACATGTCAGTCCCAACACTCAACACAGTTGCAGAGATCTGATCTTCACATCCCCCTGTGGCCATGGACCTTGTGGTAAGTCACATCACCGTGTGACAGCTAGTCAGTCACAGCATCAATCCTGCAATCTGTCTCTTCTGTATGGCTACAGCACAGGCACCAGGGTGGCCAGACTCACCATTGGCAGATGAACTATTCCCCTATTTCTTTATGACCAAGTCAAGAAATGTGATTCTTGTAGTCTCTGTCCATGGAAATTATTTCCTTCTGGCCTATTTGGAGATGTGTTTTTATTTGTTATATGTGTCTTGACTGAATTAATGTTACTTGTTTTAAACACCAAATTATAAATGCAGGGAGGGGCTTAGGAAGAACTTGTGATCTCAGTGTGATTTTTTTTTTTTAATCAGTGGAAGTTTTCAAAGAGAAAATGGTGCTTTTTAAAACAAACCACAACTGCAGTTCTCAAAGTTCTGCGCTGCCAGAAGATGAACAGCTGAGCTGTTGGACCACAATTGACTTGATCTGGAGGAAGGGGGTCCTGGAGCATCAGTACCTCGGGATGAAGTCAGGAAGGGTATGCTTGTAGTTCTTACTGTACAATGTATATCTGTTGGGAGAGGGCTGCCTTGTCCTAACCTGAGTGATGACATTCCTTATTGACAAAACCAAACTATTCAATTTGTATTGCCTGTTGTCATCTTGTATATACAAGCTATTAAATTTTTAGATCATTCTCTTCATGGCTACTGGGTTTCTTTTCCATGTGTCTGTCTTTATCACAGAATTAATATCGACTCATCGGGGCTTTCTAAGTATAGAAAGTCAAATTGGTCTACAGACTCTATGTAGACCAGGCTGGCTTTGAAGTCACAGAGATCTCCCTGTCTTCCTCCAGAGTGCTGGTATTAAAGATGTGAGCCACCGAATAGGGCTGCAGCACCTGCACAATTAATGAGAGAAGGGTGATTTCTATTTCTACTCTGTCATTAGGAGTTTTAGAATCAATGGACATTGTTTTACTCATTCTGGAATAGGCACAAAGAAACAATTCAAAGCAAATTAGAAGAAAAACAGATTCCTAACCACATGAATTCCTAACAACTGAGACATAGAAAGTATTTGAATGCACATGTGTATTAATTATTTCTCTTGTGATGATGGCCACAAAATATCCTATAGAAACAATGCAGGAGAGGTTCCTTTGGACTCACAGTTTAGAGGGTGAAGTCAGTCTGTCCATCCCCAAAGATCTGGATGTTGGCTTGGTTCCTGGAAGTGGAAGCTTGCATTGTAGCTTGCTCAATCTTGTTGGATTAAGAAGCAGATAAAGGGTTCACCCAGGCTGCAAGTGGAGCTAGTTTTGTACCTATAAGACCCACACCCAGTCCAGGTTCTGTGTCTCTAAGTAGCCACAACCCATGTGCTTATAGCTGAGGAACAAGTGTCCAAACAAGTGCACCTGTGAGTGAAATTTCAAAGTCCAAATGTAAAACCTGTATCTTTTTGTCTATGCATAAAGGCAATACATAAAGGTAAATGATTTTTGGCAAAAATAAGATATTCCAGTGGGGGAGATGGAATGTTTTTGCAGAGAAAATAGTGCTATATTAACCAGATCTCTCTATGGAGAAAAATATTAACCTTATGCCCTGCACAAAAATTAACTTGCATGGAACACAGACCTACATGTAAAACTCTCAGACGTCTAGGGAAAATGTAGGAAAAAAATCTTTTACGATCTTAAGCAGATAACAGTTTCATAATTAGAAAAAAAAAGAACCCTGTAAATATAATTACACATGTTCAAACTTAGCAATGGCTCAGCAGTTAAGAACCCTAAGATTTTCCAGAGGACCTGGGTTTGGTTCACCCACACGGTTACCCTCAACTGCCTGTAACTACAGTTCCAGAGGGTCCAACGCCCACTTTTGGCTTCCACGTGCACTGTGTACTGCTCTGTCATGGTGCACCGATACATACTCAGGAAAAGCACCCAGCACATAAAATAAAAGTACATAAACATTTTAATGTTTATTCTTCTAAAGAGACTGTTAAGAAGACAGGATTAATTCTGGATATGATGTAGCCATGGTTCTCATGAGCTCACTGCAAATACAGTGATCAGAAGACTAGGCCAACAGGATCAATTGACATCACAACAGGCAGCACTAATCGAACATGATGGGTTAACAAAGCAAAACAGGAGAAGGTGTGAAGTGGGCATTGACACATGTTAGGGGTACCTGAGATGGGGGAGTTGGGGGATACGATCAAAATACATTGTTTCCATGTATATGGCCGTCAAATAATAAATAAAAGATGTTCTGCTACAAAGAAAGGTTGGTTGGTTGGTTGGTTGGTTGGTTGGTTGGTTGGTTGGTTGGTTGGTTGGGTGGTTGGTTGGGGCCACCAACATGGCTCAGTAGGTAAAAGTGCTTGCTGCAAAAGCCTTCTGATCTGAGTTTGATGCTCAGAACCCACAGTAAAAGGAAAGAACTGACTCTAGAAAGCTGTCCCCTGATTTCCACACATTAATCTACACTCGCTCACACTTGCTCACACTCGCACATATACACACGAACATTATACACACCCACAAGGACAATAAGTGAAATTCTAGAGAGAAAACAAAATTCCACTTAAATAAGACTTTGGAAGCTGCAAACTCCAGGCCATGTTGTATTGCATGCCTGTAGTACATCACATAACCAACACGTAAAAGGGGACACAGGACGCAGATGTTTGAGGTCAGCCTGGCTACATGGCTAATTGAAAACATACAAACTGATGTATAATGGCAAATATCAGTAGCCATTTGGGGAGAGAAGGGATAGGCCCAAAGGGGCCCAGGGGAATGCAAATGATGGAAAATATCCATTTTCTAGATGTTATGGATGGTTTCATATATGTGCATTCAGACTACACAACACACTACTATATTGAGCTTCCAACAACAATCTCTTTTTAAGTAGGTAATCCAGATACTTCCATTAGAGTTTTGAAGCAAGGCTATTTAAAAGACACCCCATTTAAGTGAAAATGCACAGATAACAGCAAAGGAATGGGAAGAAATATGCAATGCACATTCCAGTTCTCTTCGAGAACAGCTAGAGCAGGTGCATTGAAACAGTGCAGAATTCACCACAGAGCAGGGAGGACATATCACAATGCAAGAATCGATTTACAAGAGGCACAGCATTCATTCCTAAATAGCATACACCCAATCGAAAATCCTCAAAGCACACGAAGCAAAAACTAACAGAACCAAATGAGAAAAAAATGAAACTCTGTAATAGTAGGTAGAGATTTTGGCATTTCTCTCTCGGTAACAAATATAACAGGTAAGCAAACAAAATCAGTGATCGTTGGTAATATCTGAACTCTGCTATACTGATAGAGGGAATCTAATACCATGTGCTGGAGGAGGCGGTGGGGGAGTCTGTCTGTGGGAAGGTCATAGGCCCAAGAGGTGAAGCTACTGGCATTATTTGGTTAAATGATTATATTCTGCCTGTTATATTTCATTCTAAATGTCTGTGTTTATACCCAAAGATTACTGCTGCTCTCCACCTAGCTCACAGAGAGGAAATTTGTTTTATGAGTGGACATGGCTATTGCAGAGACTCATAACTGGTCAAATGTGCTTAAATATACGGCCCAACAATCAGATGTAAATGGAAGAAATGGGAAACATCTGTGTGGCCTACTCCAAGGTTCAGAGAAGGTTATAGAAGCAGGATGGGGCGGGAAATGGTGGAGAAAGGGTTGGAGTGTCATGTAGCTATTTCCTGAATACAGAAGCATTCCCTCTGGAAGGGGGGGGGCGCTTGTGAAACCCACAAGAAAATTACATGACTCATGAAGTTCAACACCAAGATTATACAGGCAGTAAACAGACCGGGGGAGAGGAGACTCTTCAGTGGAGCTGCCTGCGAGCTGTCCAGGGAACCCGAGAGTTGCCACCCATGCAGGTGAGCTTGTTAGTGAGGAAGCTGTGTTTGTAGTAGTCCTGAATGTAATTCCTCACCCAGGTTCCTGCTCACGACCCAGAGAAACTCAAGCTAGACTTGGGAGGAATTGTTTCTTTGATCTGTCGCCGGTGCGGGCCGGTGCGGGTAGAGTTCGCTCACGTGTCCTCAGGAAAAGTCACACGACAACGTAAGGGGCTTGAGAAACTACCCAAAGGATTTGAATCCCAGAGCAGCTGAAGAGTTTTTAATAGGAGTGGGATGAGGCCAGGCTTCTGTTACCAAACATTTTGGAGAATGATCAGCAGAGGCCTGTGGCGCTTGAGAGCCCAGTCAGGAGGCCATTTTGTGGGCTCTGCCTGAAGCGGTTGTGGTATCTGGGGTCAAAATTAAAGAGGTAGAAATAAATGGAAAGGGACAGGCTCTGGGGGTGGAGGAGAGGATATTACATCACATGTGGTTCAAGATGGAGACAGGGAAACGATTGAAGGGTATTGTTATGTGTGTCTGTGTAGATGCCAACCAATCGACCAATCGGAGAGGTGGGGTGTGAAGGGGGCTCCGGTACAGCTCCGACCCCCTTCTAGACCCTAGATAAGGCACACACCACACCCAAACACCATTTTTTTTTACAGATATCCTTTATTATGCAGAGAAGAAATGTTAAAGTGGCTGCTTTCTGACTCAGACAGAAAACAGCAGTAAATGATCTAGCAGGTGTCATTTTGTTTTTTGGTTTTTTTTTTTTTTTTGTTTTTTTTTTTTTTTTTTTGTGGTGGTGGTAGTGGGGGAGTGATGGGGAATATACTGTGTATGTTTATCTTATTGATTGTTAAATA